CCTTATCTCCCCCTCCCCCCTCTCTCTCTCCCTGTCTCTCTCTCTTTCTTCTCCTAGGATTTACAGGAATGAGACCGAACAGAAGATAATAGCTTTTTTATCCCTGAAAACACAGTGATTTGATTGGCTGGAAATCTCCCAAAATGAGAGCTTCAGATCCCCTAAAATTATCATCAAAAGCTGTTCCTAGCTCCAATTCTGATAAGACACTGACTATTCCTGTCAGCTCTTAAGAGAGCTCTGGCTACTTCAAACACTAAAGAATTAAATCAAAGAAGCTCACAGACTCTAGAAGACCAGAGATGCAACCTCAAAACCCATCTTGGGAACAACACAAGCTCACAGTCTCACACCACATCAACAGCTCGGTTCAGGTGTTGCCGTCTCTGGGGGACCGTGCACTGTAGCTGGTACCCTTGCTTCTGATAGTAGATATCCCTCCCGCTGAAAACCAAACCAACCTGAACTCACAGGCTTCTCTGATTTCTCACCTGGCCTTCCACCACACAAGTGATAATGTATCTAGACCCAGGAAGGGAGACAGATAATGGAAATCCAGAAAGTGAAATCATTTGCTTTCCTTCCCATCCCACTCTACCTGTTCCTGTTCCACTGGGAGTCAGGTATAAGGAATGCATGTTAGTGTGTTTGTTTTTCAAGTTTTGAATCTTTACAGTGCTATTAATTCTATTTTCAGAAGCCAAATTTGGGAGACGTTAAGTGTGTGTGTGTGTGTGTGTGTGTGTGTGTGTGTGTGTGTGTGTTTAATCCTAGCACTTGGGCCGGGCAGTGGTGGCACACACCTTTAATCCCAGCACTCGGGAGGCAGAGGCAGGTGGATCTCTGTGAGTTCGAGGCCGGACTGGACCGATAGCCTCCAAAACAATACAGAGAAACCCTGCCTTGTAAAAACCAAAAAAAAAAAAAAAAAATCTTAGCACTCAGGAGGCAGGCAAATATCTGTGAGTTCGAGACCAACCTGCTCTACAGAATGAGTTCCAGGACAGCCTCCAAAACAATACAGAAAAACCCTGTCTCGAAAAAACAAACGAAAAACACCATTGCCTATTGTTTGTTACAACGGTTGGTTAGTTGGTTGGTTGAGTGTGAGGGGGTGTTATGATAAAGCATGTGGGGGAGCTTGGAGGATTCCATGGCAGGTGAGGGTGACTGAGGCGGAGGGACAAACATGCCATGCCGACAGAGCTTAAGTGAGAAGTTTTATTAGAAAAGGAAGAGGGGAAGGAAAGAGAAAAGAGGCCAGAGACACAGAGAGAGAGGACAGACAAGAAGAGGGAGACAGGAAAAGTTCTGCCTGCCACAGGGGAACAGCAAGAAAGAGAAGAGACCAGAAAGAAAGCGTAAGAGGGCAAGGGTCTCTCTTTTTTCTTTCGGCCCAAAATTTACTTATTTTTATTTCATGTGCATTGGTGTTTTGCCTGCTTTTATCTCTATGTGAGGATGTTGGAACCCCTGGAACTGGACTTACAGACAGCTGTGAGCTGCCATGTGGGTGTTGGGAATTGAACCTGGGTCGTCTGGAAGAGCAGCCAATGCACTTAACCGCAGAGCCATCACTCCAGCCCAGGGCTCTTTCTTTTAAAGGGATCCTTTGCACCTCCGTGTAGACTATACAACCATGAAACCCTGGGCTGACCAAGGTATTGCCTGAGTGCATTCTGCCAGGTGACAGGCAGGCCAGCATACAGAGGGTAGTTGAATGGATGGCTATTTGGTTGGTTGGTTGGTTGGTTGGCTAGTTGGATTCATCCTTGGTTTGGTTTTGATTTTGCCAATGGACTTGCTTATTTTTCCAGTAAAACCAACAAGAGCCTTCAGCATCCAGGCAGGTAAAAGCAGAGGTAGAAAGCCGAGGGCACGGGGTCTCCCGGCCTGTCACACGCCTTCCACCAAATACTTAAAACTGAGGACAAGAAACTGTAGCCATCAGGCTCAGAAAGAGGTGGTCACTGCCGACTCATTCCCTCTCACTATCCACTAGCCTTAGGCTCGGGGACAGAAAATAGCTCTGAGCTCACTCTTCACTTCCAGTTTTGTCAATAGTAATGGTCCAGCATTTCTTAAATCAAGTTCCAAGATATTAGTACACATAAATGGGTTAAAAAAGCCAGCTTTCTCACCTTTGTGAAAAAAAGTATGGAAAATCACAGGTTTGTAAAAATTAAAGACATTTTACACAGAAGGACACTCGAGCTATTCTGGCATACCAGTGATGTCACTATCTAGGTGAAGTATCTTCGGTTTCTCTCTGAAGAAATTTTTAGAATTTTTCCAACTGTTGGACTAGAGCGCTGTTTCCAGTTATATATCTAAGGACAAGTCCCTTCTACTTCTTGGTAGCTGGAGGTTTTTATTCCTGCTGCCCCCCTCAGCCCCAAATAAATACATAGACACTATATTAACTATAAAACTGTTGGCCAATGGCTAGGGCTTCTATTGGCTAGCTCTGTCTTAATTATTAACCCATTTCTACAAATCTATGTATTTCCATGTGGTCTTGGCTTACCTGAAAATGCCCAGACCATTCCTTTGGCAGCTACATGACATTGTTCATTGTCTATCTCTACCTATCTTTGCCAGAATTCTCCTTGTTTCCTAGTCCCACCCATATTCCTGCCTCTATTTGTCAAACAGTGTTTTATTTATCAACCAATAAGAGAAACATATACAGAAGGATATCCCTCATTACTTCTTGGTTGAAGTGGTCTTAAGTGCCTCTAATATGACTTAATAATTCTAGGAGAGAAAATTATTTTCTTCTTACTCAGCAATTTCATATAATAATTACTGCAAAGCTTGTAGATCCTGAAGAAAGTTGAGGTCACCTAGGAGAAGCCAGACCTGCTAGGTCTCCTACCCTAAAGGATCTGGGGCAACATTCCTTAGTGAGGAGAGAGCAGACACTGTGGCTCACAACTCAGAGTCGTCCAGAACTAACAACAGCTGTTGCAGCTTTTAATTAAAAGAGGTGATTGAAGGACAGCCCGCTTCCAGCCTCAACCCTTTTAAACACCCATGCTTATGTATTTACCCCACCATCACCACCACCACCCCACCACCCCAGAGAAATGAAGATGTCACCCAAGTTCTGATCCAAATGCAGGACAGGGCTGGAGTTCTGGGGAGATAATGATTTAGCCTGGTGGAAGGTGGGAAGTTGCCCGGGACTGTCTAATATCTGGTGACAGTTGAAACTTAACTCCCTGTGGAAGTCGGTGTGCAACCCAATGTGCCTCCCGGTGCCCTGTTACCTTCTTCCTCAAATGCAATCTACCTGTCCCGGAGTCCAGCACCTCCTCCTCAACAGTACCTTCGTTTCACCAACTCATTCCTCACCCGGGGTGAATCACTTACCCAACAGGAGCCGCTATGGCCTCCACTTTGTATTTTTAGTATAAAACCACAGTTGTCATAACCGCTCAGTCCATGCTGAGTGTCCTGCTGAAAATCAGTTTGATCAAGAGGAGTCCGTGCCACAGCTTTGTACTAATTATGAAAAGAGCGGCGTTCTGAAACCCTGCAGCCTGCTGGCTCAGGTTTGGCAGCTGCTTGACCAATAGTATAGCCTCACCTACCCCAGAAGCCTGCCACAATATGTCCAACTATATACCTTGTATCGGCAAGCATAAGAGGACTTTGCAAATTGAAAAGTACCTCCCAGGTGGTGTGCGGAGCAGTCAAAGACAACTCTACCCAGAACTGGGTCTCAGTATAGACTAACCAGGTAGAGCCATAAACCTTTCTGAGCCTATGTCAAGATGAGGAAGAAAGTGATGGATATAGTGGCATAGGCCTTTAATTCCAGTACTCAGAGGCAGAGGCAGGCGGATCTCTGGGTTCGAGGCCAGCCTGGTCTACATAGTGAGTTCCAAGACAGCCAGAGCTACATAGGGAAATCAAAACAAAGCAAAACAACAACAACAAGAGGAGGAAGAAAACAAATGAGGTCATGTAAAGATGTTTTTTAATACTGGATTGTAGTAAGCACTCAATAAGTGTTATCTATCCTAGCCATGATCATCATTAAAGCACAGAAAATGGACTTTTTGACATTGTTGGCATTTTTATTCTAATATCAACCGTGTCTTCTATGATCCTCTTTCTTCCTAACACACCAGCGTCCATTGACCTTTCACTGTAACCCTTCTCGACCATCACAACACTACCAGATGCTGCTTAGGGACAATAACTGATAGCATGCTAACTGAAAGAGACAAAATGGTAGATTTGCAGTCTCAATACTGTAAAAATAAAATTCAAGTATGAGTATAGAGACAGTTCATGTTTTTCATGCTCCATGTATGTGTGTTTTAGATGCCAAGCATGCCTTACATGACAATGTCTGACAACATAGTTCACATTTCACTTACCTCAGCTGATTAATAGTTACTGCATAAAGTAAAACTGCACCGTATCCATCCAGTCCACAAATCGCCATGCAAATGACAAATGTATACCATGATCATTGACCAGTCATGGCTGGTTTCCAAGTCTCTGTGTGACTGGTCAGTTCATGCACAGACAGAAAAGTATGAGGTTATGCAGCTCTCTTATCGCGATGTGGTGTGCACACATGACAAGATTTCCCAAGAGGGAACTGGCCAACAATGATGAAAGTGCAGCCAAGAAATGAAAAATAGTAACAGTGGGAAAGAAGAGAGTTGAAACTCAGCTGGGTTATTGAAGAAATACCTGGCCACAGGACTAGTGAGAAACTACTTTCATCTCCGTTTTCCTATTTTCCAAGATGAAGAGTTTTACATTTTCTAACATAAAGATTGTTTTCCTATTTTCCAAGATGAAGAGTTTTACATTTTCTAACATAAAGATTGCAGAACACTTGAATCCCACCCCTCAGCGGATTACTATCGTCAGTCTGCATGATTCTTTTAGTCCTACACTATCACGCAGTGGCAACTGCCTTATGTGAGTCTCACTGTCCCCCAAAAGGCCCATGTGGTAAAGACTTGGTTGCCAACCTGTGATGTTTCTGGGGAGTCTGGAGCATTCAGGATGTGAGGCGGAGTAAAAGCACGTTTATGCCTCTGCAGAGTTGCCGTGAAGGAGAGTGGGACCTCTTCTATTTCTCTCTGCTTCCTGATGGCCATGAAGAGCTCTGCCCCGCTGTGTGTCCCCTGCCATGAGGGAAAATACAGCAAAACATCATGTTTGTCAGAACCATAGCTGACTCTAAGTAGCTCTTCTAAAATTACCGTATTTGAAAATACTCAGCGATTAGCACACATTCTTCTCATGACCTGGAAGAAAATGTTATTTTAAAATAACAACACCCCTCTCCCAACACACACATACACTTGGTCTAAATTTCAGCTCCCTTGAGAACTGAAGAAGTCTTTTTGGCTTTTGCTGCATTCAGGTCCTTCAACCAAAACAAGAAAGATGTCTTCCTGCCTATAGCCCTATAAAGCTTTTGAGTCAGTGTCTGTAACCTTTTTAAATTATCTTCTTACACACAGGGACAGTGTATGCACGCGTTCTCTCCCCAACCTTGAAGCCCTGTTGAGTGCTCTACTTGTGTGTGTGTGTGTGGGGGGGTGTCAGTAAATCCTTTACCCACCTCTCAAAAGCCTGGCAGCAGTTGCTAGGGGAAATTACTAAAGGGTCAAGGCTATATCAGCTGACATTGGAACACATTTTAGTAAACTATGTGTTAAATGATTTAAGCGGTCTACACATCTAATTAAAATTTTATTCCTTTTCTTCAAACGACATAATTATTGAGAGTCTAGAGGGCCCTGAATCATGATGGGTACACTTTGGTTTCCATAGTAACAGCAATGCAGCCTCAGAATCTTAACACATTTCTTTGGTTTAAGGCAAATGGGGTTACAATTCTTACCCAAATATACAGGCCCAGACAGAATTATGATTATTATGTAAGCTACAAGTTCTACTTATTAGCTATTATTTATTTTTAATTAACAGGCTAACTTACAGATAATTTTTTTAAAAAATGCATGCCCTTTGTTAAAAATATATGAAGGACGGTGAAAACAAAAAATTAAAATTCTTTATGTAGTCAACACCTTTTTTATTAGAATGAAATGCAGTTTTATTATGATACAGGAAAGACTAAGCCATTAGGGAGGAGAGAGCCTGGGTAGCCCCTCAAAATAATGGGAAACAAAAGTGGCATAAACATCTCAAGACTAAAATTCTAACCACAGTGCAGTCATTGGAGTTTTTCCACATTTTCTAACTTCAAAGCTATAATAAATGTAACAAGTCACTTGAACTGTCAAAAGGGCAATAATTTTACACCAAGAAGAGCATACACATCTGGCCAAAACACTGAAACACTCAGGTTCCCAAGGCGCAGGCCACACTGCCCAGCCTGAGGCACCCCCATGGGGGGCAGGCTCCACGCCCATCCTACCTCCTGACCACGCCCACTGCAGAGGTCAGAAGAGGACCTGCTACCTCCAAGCTGGTTTGAGAGCCCCGCTGAGAGCAAGCATGCTTCTGCTGTTGGGACAGGTGATTGATTCAGCCCTCTATGGTGAGATGCACCTATGATCACCCGGACACCTACACTGGGTGGCTCTCAGATGAGGAACCCTTTTCCTGACTTTCTAGCCAAAGAAAGACTAAGGCTGCATCCCAGAGTCATCTGCACAGGGCCTGTCCAGAGCAGACACCATGCTGACTGCTCCGGGACACAGAGGCACACCCAGAGGTTTGTGTGGTGCTTTTTTTTTTTTTAAGGGCCGGCTTTTTAATTTGACCCCAAACCGAGCAGTCGTGCACGCGGAGGGGCAGTATCATACTATTGTGTCACTCAGTTGAGCACACAGAGAATTGTGTAGTACTTTTTGCTTTTGATGGTACCCTGCAGAGGTACAGGTCACCGCACGCCCCCAGCTCAGCGTGGCATTAATGACCCCATATCCCCATCTTTACACACACTGGAAGAAGCATTTGACAAGGAGAGAAGGGTAGAACTCCCACCACACACCACAGTTGAGGAGCTCTCTCTCTCCTAACCTAGAAAATGTTCGTAGGGTAGTCTCCAGCCTTCACCATTCATCCTTTCCCGTGAGCATAGAGACTGTGTGGGAACAGAGACACAACATTCCCGGGAAGCTTAGCTGCGCTCACCCTCTCCTCTAACAAACTGTCTCTCCTCGCCAGCGTGCTAAATTGTACCTGGGACAAGCAGGGAGTAAGTGACTGCTAATGGAGGTATGCCACAGGCAGGCAGGCAGCTGCTGCTCTCATGTTCTTGTCCCCTGAAATGACACTTCAGATGCAGGGCCTCAGCCGTTTGAGGCTGCAGTGAGCGCAGGATTGTGCCGGACAGGTGATCTCACACTCTGTCATGGCAAACCCAGTTTTGAGGCTTTCTGCCCTGCTATACTTTATACACTTCATCTCAAGAAGGAAGTCCAGGTAACATCTATTCTTACTTCTGGCTACCAAAGCCTCGTTTTTTGATGGTAACTTGATGTTTTTATTATATATATATATATATATATATATATATATATATATATATATATATGCACACACACACATCCCTCTTCCGTTTTTACAAAGTTTATCTTTCTTTCTTTCTTCCTTTCGGTTTTTCAAAACAGGGATTCTCTGTGTAGCTTAGACTGTACTGTAGCTCACTTTGTAGACCAGGCTGACCTCAAACTCACAGAGATCCACCTTGCCTCAGCCTCCCGAGTACTGGAATTAAAAGTATGTACCACCATGCCCGATTACATTCCTTGTCTTTAAAAGAAAAACGCTCAGACTTTTTGAACCAAAGGTCAAACAAAATAGCTTGGCATGGATGAGTGAGTTTTTAGGGTGTGTGAGGTGGGGTACAGGGTGGATTACTGATGGGACCTGGTGTAATTAGGTTGTTTGCATACATCTAGAGACTGATTAAGAAGAGGAAATGAACCCGCTTCCGCCCCTTCTGTTCCTGGGTAGGAAAGTGTCAGCAGTGCCATGAACTAAACCGCCAAGGAGGCGTTTAAAGAGGAGAGGATTGAAAGAGGAGAGCACAATACAACATGGTCACTATGAAAACTGTGACATCAGAAAGGGCAAGAGGTTGGGGACAGGAGGGGTGGCTCATCAGTTAAGAGCACCAGCTGCTCTTCCAGTGGACCCAGGTTCAATTTCCTGGCCCCCAAGGCAGCTCACAGTTGTCTCTAACTCCAGTTCCAGGGAATCCAACACCCTTACAGATATACATGCAGGCAAAAACACCAATGCACATAAAATAAAAATAGAGACATTTAAAAGAAGGAAATGGCAAGAGGACATCCTTCTATCTCAAGAAGACAGTTAATATGGGTGAATTTTAGATACTAGTACAGATCAATTACCTGCTATAGACTGAAAAGTACTAGTTTTGCCATATGGTTACCGACTATGGTTCATTACAATTTCTCAGTAAACAACAGCTTGCCTTCCTTAGATTCTGAGGCAATAGTAGGTCTTCCCATTCTGGTTTTAACACTAAAATATTGCCAGTGGTTCATTAATGACATTCTAGAATGAATGGAAGCTCCAAGATCTTCAATCTGTATTCTCTTTGGAGGACGTTGGGTATTCCGCTTGTGAGAAAATGTTTTGCTTTAACTTCTGCTAAAATCATAGCCACTCACTGTTTTCCACAGCTGTGAAATACTGCGAGTCTTGTTACTTGTAGAACTAGTTTGTGTTCCTGTTGTAACCTTTTTGACTAAAAAGCATCAGTGACAAGGGACAAGCCAGGGAGTAGGTGTTGCTTAGTATTTTTCTGTCTTGTCTGGCAACAACAATTCTCAACCCACATGTCACAGACACATGAACTATGAAGTCTGTGGAATTTCAGGAGGGAGAGAGAGAGAGAGAGAGAGAGAGAGAGAGAGAGAGAGAGAGAGAGAGAGAGAAAATTTCCTCAGAATCAAGAGCCCTCGCCTGATTACAGAGCTGTGAAAGAAGGAAATTGGGGAGAGATTCAAAATCTATTGTAGACTGATAATTACAAAGTATGGTCCTATCAAATCATCAGATCCAAATATTTTGTGCAGTGTTCTGTTCGCTCCAGTTGCCAGTTTCAAGATTAGGAGAAGTACAGTCTTTCTTATGGACCCCAGGGCTAAAGGTACAGAGGTCAAAGATAAGGACTCAGGATGTGCTTCTTTACACAAGGTAGCAGTGTTTGTGTCCTAAGGGTAGTGGCAAATAACAGGATCTGGTGGACACCACGGAGATGTCCAGGTTCTTGTGTCCCAGAGCAAGGAATTGGGCTGTAGAAGCCGAGACCTTTCTTAAGCAGTTCCAGGAATAAAAGGGGCTGTGGCTGCAAGAAAAGGCTAAACACCTATGGCCTTGTACTCAGCATATTGTGACTTTTATAGGCCCCTTGCATAGAGCAGGGTGTGTGTGTATGTGTGTGTGTGTGTGTGTGTGTGTGTGTGGTGTGTGTGTGGTGTGTGTGTGTGCGCACACACACGAGTGTGCAGCTCCACCCCCAAGCCCCTCACCTGCCCCCCCCCATCCCTATGGCTGCTCTATGTCCTGTTGGCCTGGGTGGGAGGTTTTTCTATCTGGTTTCTTTTATATGCTGATTCTGATCTCACTCTCCACCCTACTTCCCCTCTGTAGCAGTGGTCTAAACCATGCTAGAGGCCCTGGACTCTGGTTAAACAGGAATCCTTCCTTGGTTTGTGAGCACAGCTTCCCTTGTGGGCAGGTCAGCAGATTGTAGCACAAATAATAAAAACCTAGGGACAGATATTGGGGTTCAAGCTGAAGATCAGAAAAGCAAAGAAGCCAGCCCCTAGAGAGTTCTCACCTCTACTAAGGCTCAGACCAAAGGGGTCCCCCAATCCTGTCTCAGACTGTAGGCTGCAATGATCTTCATCAAACCTCTGCTCTCCACCAGACCTCAGACCGCACTGAGCTGCTTTATATTCCTCTCTAGTGCTGGGATCAAAAGTGTGAGCTCTTTTTCACTCTTATGTAGCCCAGGGTGGCCTTGAACTCACAGAGATCCTTCTGCCTCTGTCTCCCAAGTGCTGGGATTAAAGGTATGTCCACCACTGCCTGTCCCCTATGGCTAACTAGTGGCTTAAATGTGTGACTAACTAGTGGCTTAGCTCTGTGCTCTGATCTTCAGGCAAGCTTT